TAGATTTCGAATCTATTTATTAAAACAATCATACTATCCACTATAAATCAAGAAAATGTAAATATGAGTACCTCTAAATCCCATTTGACCAAGAATTGCAAATCTAAATATTAACTTAAGTCAAAATCAAAATGCAAGTTGTAGTTGTCAACGACTTTTACGAAAAAAAAAGATAAATGAAAAAAGACGGCGAATTGTAAGCTCGGTAATGAAATGTGAAAATGACCTTGCTCTCTATGAGTTCTCGAAGTTCAGTGGATAGAGCGCCCGCCCGGTGTTCGGGAGGTCATGGGTTCGATTCCCGTCGGGGACTCAGATTTTCTCTTTGTCCCACGCTGATGCCATGTTGGTCAGTTCATTTTCTCAAAATAAAAGATGTTGGAAGTAACTGGAATCGTTTATGAAACAAGCCAGTATGCCAGGAAGCTAGCTGAAAGATTCAACCAAGAAAAAATCACCTCCAATGCCTCCTCACAAGCACAGGAGAAAAGAACCAAGTCCAAGAAGTGTCGATCTTAGAACTTGTTCTCTACTTTAAATGAACACAAGTGGTAAAACCCGCGTTTTAATTTAAGTTTGCGTTAACGATACGACGTTGGGCTGGCCTCTCCGACAAGTGAGCGAAGCACTGGAGATCTCGGTACCCATAAATTACACTCTTGAATGGTTGCAGTCCTTCTTCAAGAACGTTATCAAACTGAAATAGATTAAATGATGAAGTCAGAATTTGTACTTGAAGAAGAGAAAATCTCTTTTGACTTGAAGTAATGCTAATGCGAAGCCAAATAACTGACAAACACAAATAGAAAATGACCGGTGATTGTTGCGTTTTTAAATTCCTCCGGCGTAGTGTGGACCGAAAACGTGTGATGCGTTTTCAGAGTGAAACCTCCGCTTTCAAATTCCTCCGACGTAGAGTCTTAATTAATGAGTCGAGATTGAAAGCAATTATTGATACAGTTGATCCCCCATTTAGGGCTTTCACCTTGGTTTTGCATCAATAGGCTTTGTTGGTTTACAAAACTCTCGTTCCTGTTTTAAGCAGTCAGTTCAGACGTTTTCCTACGCTTTACGCCGTCTTCATGTCTTCACTTCTAGTTTTGATCGGCTTACTGGTTGGTCTGTGCGCGTTAGGTTCGTTTGGCCATATAATAACTGTGGTTTAGGTCAGTTTAATTTACAACACCCACTTGAAAACCTCTCTACATTACGGCGGTTTTTGGTTGAGTGTCATCCAATCAGACGCAGAACTAAAACCAATCATGTCTCGCTCGCACGGCCCGCCCACGTTTTCCCGAGCTTGGCATCTGTATGAGTTTTGATTGGTTCATTGGACTGTCCGTGTCCTTTGTGATAACTTTGTACTGGTTTTACGACGCTCGATTGAAAACTGCTCTATGGTGTCGTAATATGGAAGATAAACGTTTGTTGATTAATTCCGAGACAAACCTCTCAAGGTAATTGGTTTGTTTAAGTCTATTCACCTTTTCTATTTGTCCTTGTCTCTTGTAGTACTGGAAATTCTCTCCATCGGCCCAAAACTGACGTATGTACTGCAGCACCCATTGGTTGTCGTAGTAACTCCTCTGTATTACCTATGGACTGACTACTCAGATCAATATGAAGCCAATGTGAACCACCTGGAACTGTTCAAGCACCTCCGTTTTCCTGACTTTACAGTCTGGCCAGGTAAGGTGAATGACCGGCATTAGTGAACAAAGAGGTTGTAAATTGTTTATTGGAGATTAGATCTGTTCATTTTGTTTGTTTGTATTTCTGCAGACAAATCACCGTAAACTTGGTCGATTAAAATTTGCCGCAAATTACTTACGCCTGACTGAGGTGGTAGAATTTAAACAATTAGAAGGAGAAATTTTGGTCACGGATTGAAATGGAGGCTGATACCATTTATTAGTGAAGACATTGAGGTCAAAACATGCTTTGACAGTGCATATTCCGGGGCATTTGCTCGACTCAATCTCACATTAGTTTGAGTTTGGGCCCTTATTCGGGACAATTGTCAGTCAACCCCTTGTAGCTGACCAAACCACGTACTTTGTAACTGTGATGGCACAGATACAAGAAAATGAAACTATCTATACATAGCAAATTAATGCCACTAGTGTAGCCTGAGTTTCGATAGAGGATAGATGTACTGAACGCTTGTTGAGTACCGCGTGTCGTAATGCTGGATGGAATAACGTATGCCTGTCGATGCATCTGCGCGCTGCCGACGGGCGATAACCACGTGACCCTTGAACAATTTTTTGAGTGGCTGCAATAACCCTCCCAGACAATCATTTCGTGCACCTGTTATCAAACTACAACAGAACGTCGTGTTCCTACGCCTATGTTCTGGCAATCTCGCTAGGCAAGAACATCTACGTTTCTTTCTAATGATCGATTGCGTTTCGTAGATCGATTGTGAAAATTCTGTTCCTCCATTTTCATTAAGTATACAGATATTCAAATATCAAGGATAGCGAATACAATTTCCTTTTGCAAACACTAAATGATTTTTCAAGTTTCTTGCAGAATTTCAACTTTTTAAGTCTTTCGAGTAGAGATTTTACTGCGATAGGAAACAAGACGGCTGATATTTAGTGGCTTTTGGCCGACCAGCAGGTTTCCTTTTGCCAGATTGTGTCCATTGCAAGATGATGTTGGGTTATGAGCCCGATCCATTCTAACTACGTACGTGACAGATTCCTTGTAGCCCTTTGTATCGCACGGTATTGTTTTAAATGTCAGACGTTAAAGGCCAGTATAAAAGTGCGTAACTTGTGCTCTGTCGAGCTCTCTCATGAAGATATACCTCATTAACAGACACAGACAAAGCCTCAAAGGCAAGAAGCCATTAAAACTAATTTTTCTTGCAGTGTTACAAACTGAAGAAAACCATTTGCGCCGAACACGAAGATTTGACGCATTCTGTAAAATAAGAAAGCACGTGAAGTGGCGAAAACTGACTGCTCGGCAAATTAACGGTTAATTAAATTTAGAAATTTTCAGGAAACTAAAAGTGGAAATGTCAAATTCGTATACTGTAGTACTCTAAACTCGCTTCACAAAGACAAACAACATTGCAAAGTTGTTGGGCAGTGAGGTGCCTTTCCATGTTCGATTCTTTATAGTAAGTAGGGTAAAGAAGCTGTCTTGTACAGTAAGTAGTGTTTATAGCTCTGTTGTATTGTAAGAAGTGTATGTAGCCTTTATTGTATCGTTTTAGTGCAACGTAACAGCAAAAGTATTGTAAAGTGTAAGCAAACATAATAACATAAATTAAAAAAAAAAAATGTTCGGTCACCACGCTAAGTACCAAGGACTGAGAATCAGTGAGAGCTGAAGAAACACTGGCCAGCGACTGATGGCCCAGGGCATTTCATCGTTAATATTATGACTCGATAGAAACAAGATATTTTTATCATTTTCTAAATATTGACACTAGCTGATATGTGGAATAACGAAAAACGCTGGCCAGCTTGTCAGGTTTCCGCAGCAATTTCGAGTTCTCGCGAACTTTCACGAGTGCTTCCATGAAATTTCCAATACGAAACAAAAACATCAATTTAATTACTTAAGTTGGGAAATTACAATTCAAACTCAGTAGTCTGATCAATAGCTAGAGGTTTAAAGCTCAATCGTCTATCATGCTAATGTAAATAGCAAGCTGTTCAGACCTGTTGGGATTGCGAACAAGTGTATGAAACCGCAATAAAATGCGGTTAAGTTAAAAAGAATGTCCTCCAAAAGAAAAATCTTACGAGTTATTGTTTTCTTTAGTACCTCCCATTAGCACAACAGTACTATAAAGTTTTTTTTAATTATTTGCGTTTTCTTTCCGTTTTTTAATCCTTCGTGCCTTTTTAGTTCTAAGGAGATATCACAGATCAGATAGCGTTGGAGTTATCTTGGGCCATCTTTCACATTTTCGAGGCATAGTGATCCGTTCTAGAAATTTTCTTTTAGTACCTCTTAATTTTACTTCATTTTTGTTTAGAAGCATTCTAATCCTATTTAAGCATTTCAATTTAACCAGATAAATCTATATGAATATTTTTCTTCGAAATGTTCATTTCTTTAAGTGATAGAAATTTGGTGTAAGTCGCAGCGATTAAAAAAGCGCTGAGTTAACTTGCAATTAGTGATGTGATTTATATTTCTGTTGCATTCAAAAGTTAAAAGCCTGCAAGGAACAAAAGTCAATTTTTTTCCATTGAAAAGTACGTCCGTAAACACCAATTGTAATCTCATCCGAGAACAAGCACCTACACAATTTACAAGATTGCTTTGTCTTAAAAACCTGTTTCTCTGTTTAGATCAAATCAACGCTAAAAGGATGGTCAACAGAGTGGTTAGAATATTTCATTTTCTTGGTCGGAAGGTTCAAATCTGATTAAAAGTGACCTTTCCTGATAGGATGAAGCGAAATCTTGGTTTGAAATATTTTTTACAGGTGAAACGGGGGTATTTTAAAAACAAAGCCATTGCCGTCGTAGGCGAATTAAAGTGAGGGCGGCCAAGAAATTGCTGATTTTGAACGAGCACTGAAGGAATCCCTTTGTTTCTTCTCTTCGGGAAAAAAGGTAATTCAAATCGTTTAGGATTCAATGTTGTAGCTTAATTAAATTTAGTGTATCTTAGCTAGTCTTCGTCGTTTTCGAATGAGGATTGTAAAATATAAACAATAACCTCTTGACTATGATGTTGCAAACTAGATATTGCAATGTGTATTTTCGAACCTGAGGTTTGAAAATGGGAACTAGTCGGAGAAAAATGTTACTAAGCGCTACATAGTAATAACAAGGGACATTTGCTTTTAAATAACAAACAAAACCGCTTCCATGTAATGCTATGCGCGTTCAGGACGAGCTTACATTTCTTGCCGACGCTAGGTCAGTGGTTAGGATTGGATAACAGTGGGAAAACAGTCTTAATTTGTGAAGTAAAATGCTCATAGCTTTAAAATAAACACGCCGCGAAATCGGAACGGATGCACGGTTTGTGTCAATTAGTCTTTCAGTAAATTAAAATGGGTCAGTGGCAGGTGTTTCTGATCTTCGTATTTTCTAGACCTTTTCTAAATGAAAAATGAAATAACAAAAAGAGTGGCATTGAAGATAGCAGTTTATGCGCATGGTAAATTTAATTAACCGAGGCATTTAGGGAAGAAAAACCCGGAACTGACACACCATGACTTCCGGTCTCACGCTGAAAACGTTTTAAGCTTTTAATCGGACTCGGAATAAGACTTGCCGTGGGTTTAGCAATTAAAATTGAAAAGGGTGTCAAAATGTTAGAAGAAAATGGAACTGCGAATAGTTTGTTTTTAGAATATGTGTGATAACTCACAGCCCTTCGTCATGGTTGGTGTGTTAATGACTGGAGCGAGATTGCCACAATAAAATCAAAAACAATTTTGCTAAGTTCTTTACTTTTATATTGTATCTTAAATCAGTCAAGGATCGCTCCCTTGTCCCTAAACATTTCTGTTATGGATTTGAATTGGAGATAATCGTATGCTGTCTCTTTACTGTGTAATACGCACATAGTTAATCCTTTAAGGGATAAGGTTAATAGAAGTAAAGCGTCTTAAGCTTAGTGGCTCGTACACTCTTAACGTAACTTCGGTTTCCGCAGCACGAATCGACTCAGGAAATCTTTCCTTCCCCTGGATGGGATACTAGTCCTCTACAACTCAGCGCTACCCAGTTATTGTCCTGGTCAGAAAGAGACACTGTGAGAGTAAATTGTCTTGGCTAAGAGCACAATGCGGTGACTGCAGCCAGGACTCCAACTGACCTTGACCGCTCGATCCAACGCGGCGCTAACCGTAAGGCCACAGCACCTTCCCACTTCCTACCGAGAAAAGTGATCAGAATCTAATTTCTCTCCCAAATATCAGTGCAATGTCCCCATACAGGTCATGAGAAAAAGGCTGTTGATCTTAAAGGGGAATTTGCTTTCTTACTCATTATCTACCAAACAGCCTGAGTAAAGTTTTCCGAACGGGGGACCCGTAAAGCCATTTGTAGTTAATCTGCATCTAAAAACAGAGAGGTACACTGTATATACACCTGAAACTTCATGTATAATGGAAACCTCTGTTCATATAACAACTCTGTAATCACAACTGAGCTTTGAGATTTACGTATGGCTTTCCGGGTGCGAAAACGTTTTCGGGACCTTAGAGAAACGGGCCCTTGAGGACCTTAGTCTATCGAGGAAATGTATGGAGACCAATAAGATGAGCTTATTCCTTTGTTACTCATACTATCATCATTAAAAAAAAAATTACTCTGTCCTTCAGCCCCAACTTTTCTAGTGATTTCGCTGAGTTTTAATCTTTCGGTTTTACGTTGATGAAGTCATTTTACAAAATACCACAAAGTTTTTAGTGTAATTATATTTCAATTTGCAAACCAGTTTTTAAAAATTGAAACATAATTGTGCCTAATACATCCATTTAAGGAGATAAAGGAACGAAATTTGTTTCTTAAAATGTGTGTAAAATGCTGCAAGCGGGGCGCTTTGATTTTTGAGCCAAGAATTAACAAGAAAAACACGGAAATAATCCCTTAATAGTTCTCATGATCTTTTAATTGCATTTTGCTTTTAATTTTTTTTAGATTTTTTCCAAGTAAAGATAGTTCTCTTTTGACCAGCTGGTTTTAAATGATCTAAGCTTTTAAGC